TGCTCAAGGGCACCTCGGCAGAGCACAGGAGGTGAAACTGGCACCTCTCAGAGTCAGTATATACTTTTAATTGATGCTGCCTTTTTAATTTCCTTGTACCTACGTAATGTGAGTATTATTACACTCGTTCAATCTTTCATTGGTTAATTAAACAAACTGACACTGTAATTTATCTGCATTACCACGATAAGATACCGTAACACAAATTAATCAAAAATGTATGCAAACTTAAAGGTCCAGTGTGTAACATTTAGGAGACAGAAATATATGAATATAGGAATTACTATGTTTTTGTTGTCTTAGAATGAGCTGAGTGTTTATTTACAGACATGGGTCGCCTTCCATTGTCCGCCATATTGAACCAGCATGTTTCTACAGTGGCCCAGAACAGACAAACCAAACACTGGCTCTAGATAGGGCTGTTTGTGAATTTCGTGGCCAACGTAGTTTCTCCTACACATTTCCTAGCCATTCTCATTCCCAGGTCATCAAATACAGACGTGAGTGGCGTTCACTTGGTTGAAATCTGCAACTTCACCACAAGATGCCACTAAATCCTACACACTGGTCCTTTCATGTTTGCTGTGATGGATTACACAGCTCAAACATGTTTGAATAGTCTGCCTATTCATTGTTATACTGGGCAGAAATGATTGTAAACAATGTACAACAAATAAAAGAAATCTGAAACTCTTGATTATAGTTTGCAAAATTCAGAAGTAATGTAAACTATTTATGATCTGTGTAAAAAGGCTAAAACATGTAAAATCACTGTTGTGATTCTGGTAAAAAGAAGACCACAATGGCTGCATAATGTAAAGATCATCCTTCAGTGATACGTGCACTTATTGTGAAGAACGTATTACATACACAGCACTTACGTCTCCTTGTAATCCTTCAGCACTCTGTTGGTGTAAAAGGTGGCAGCATCATTCATCTCCTTCACATATGGACCCGGCTTCTGACTCTGAGAGACATAAAATGTTCATTAGAGAACACTTATCTCGCTTTCAGTGTCACAGAAGCACTGTGAGGTCTTATTTATTTCTACTGACCCTTTATTTGAGAGTGACATGCAAAAAAACACTCATGGTGATATAGTGAGTTTCCGTGGGGAAAAGTCCCCTCCTGACAGCAACGTACACTGAACAGAGCCAGTTCCAGATGTTTTTCTACACAAGTGGAAAAGCTTTGATCTTAATCTAAATGATATTCATCCCCAAACTCAGTGGAAGAGATTTTGTTCTGATGGGAAACAGAGACTAAGAAGAAGACAACATGGTAGGATGTGTTTATTTATACTCATCTGTCTGTATATATTTAATTTGAATTTCTGAATAATAGCAGTTATTTTTACTTCTTATTTCAACTTTGACTGAGTTTAACTTTTAGGTTTTTGATGATTTTATAAACATAGTATCAATGTTCACGGACTATCAGTGCTTCTAAGTTGAAACTGTTCAAATTTATGGTTATTACTTGAACAGTAATTTATATTATCCTTGAGTACAGTGTTATCTGTTTATATCCACGTGTCTGTGTACTTTTTTATGTTTCTTTAGGCTGATAAACATCATCTTACATGTGTTTATCTGTAAACATTTGTGTGTTTGTGTGCACGAGAGTGCGTAACTCTCCTTACCACAGCTACCCAGCCTAGAGCAGGGATGCTCTCGCTGACGGCCGACAGGTGGTTGAAGAGGCTGCTGCCGCGGTTTCGTTCTCGGAAGCTCTGGATCTCCTGGATGTGATCCGAAATTGGCTTGAGCAGGTCATTAAACTCCATCTGCCGAAGAAGAAGAAGAAGAAAAAGAAGAAGAAGAAGTAGAAGAAGAAGTAGAAGAACAAGGTAGGAATTAGGATAAGACAGCAGGAGGAAGCAGGAGAAGTGTCAGTGTGAGAGGAGAATGCATGAAGATGAAAGAGGAGGAATCAAATCACAAGAAGTCCTAAAACCAAAGAATTCTCTTAAACATGTTTCAGATACTTTTGAGTTTACAACCCCAGTGATGTTTCCCTGCTGAGCCATACCCACCCTGCTCTCAGTGCCACTCAGTTATTCCTAAACTAGGCTACAGGACAGTAACTAATTTTGTTAGACGAAGCCTTTTTCCATTGGAACTTCCAGATCTCAGCTACAGTATAGCTGCTCATTTCCCAGTTCTCAGCTCCCCTCCCCATCGCTTGGTTTCTACAAACATTCCTCGGTTCATGGGGAGATCCCTCTGGCCTTGTAAGGCATACCGCTCCTCCAGTGTTTACAGTTTACCTACCATGCGCCTGCACACACATAGATTCAAGAACACAATGTTTTATTGGTCTTCTTGGATTGCTGCTGCAGCTTTCTTGTTCTGATCTGCAGTAAACTGATGGCTATGTGAAATATTTACTGCTAATGAGCTGTGACAAGATTATTTCTTTATTCAGATGAGGAGCAGAAGAAAACACTGGTCTATTATGGAGGAAACTAATTAATCACATGCAGTTAAAATAAGCCAGTATAGTTAACTTGATAATATCAGTAGATTGCATATGTGAGTGGTTTATTCCACAGCCCACAGTTCATTTGTGTGTGTATGTGAAACATGCCTGTCTTTCTTATGTACGTATATACTGTATGTAAGCAGGTGTGATGCTGTATATAAAAATTCATGGCTGTCCACCTTTGTAATATTATGCTAGCGTGTAAAGGAGCAATAAAAACAGAATAAGCTTTCTCCTTTTTTTCCAACAAATTCTTCCCCCAATCAGATGCACATGATCTCCATAAGCTGAGATAGACGCTCCTTTCTCTGCTCCTCCGGCTTCTCACTAAATCCTGTACTAATATCTGTGTGCGAGCAGCTTTGAAGCAATATCCCCTGTCCAAAACAACTGCAAACTACAAATAGAGACTTACTGTGTTTGCTGAGTAGGAATGTACAGTACAGGTAACATATCAGGTAATTGTTCCATCACCTTTCTCCCCCATTAATCAGTTTATTCTTTCAGTTTTCAGTGTTTATCTGACCAACCAGTTCCATTTGTCTTCACTATTTCTGCAACTAAAGATTATTTTCATTATCAATAATTCTGTAGATTATTTTTTCAATGAACAGTTTTGTTGTTTTGTCTAGAAAATGTTCAAAAATCATAAAAAAATTGCCAACCGTGGATTCCCACAACTCCAGTATACATCTTTAAATGTCTAATCAACAGTCCAAAGCATTCAGATTACTATAATACACAACAAAGAAATTGATTAAATCTACTTGAAAAGCTGCAATCAGCATGATTTTAATAATTAATTAATCAACTGATCATTTAAGTTCTCCTCTTTATATGAAAGTTAATAAAGAGCAAATGCACATTCTCCCACGACTGATTGCGTCCATTAGGGATGTCTGGCCTTCGTTACACAACAACAACACAACAACATCAACGTCATCATGGCTTCCACTAAAAGCATGACTCGTATTCTCTGAGTACGAGTGTGGACTTCCCTTCTCTCAATCATGCTGCACAGTGATGAGAGAGACAGATATGGGCCGAGACAAAGCAGAGAGAAAAAGTGAGGTGTAGACAGAACTCATTCAGTATTCCCAACTGCACCGTAACCTGTAAATTTACAGCGGGAGTAAATATGTCCACTTTAATACGCTTCAGCAACTTGCCAACAAAAACATTCCTAAGCACAAATAAATCTACATTGTTCGTACATATGGCAGCGTTACAAAATGCACCTCTCAGCAGGTCCAAGTTCCAGTATGTCACAGAAAAAATCAAACCACAAACAAGCAAATGTGCTGTTGTGAAATATGGCCGAACAACTTGAATCAGTGCAGTGATTTATAATTATAACTGGTCCTCGGGCAGATTTCAGTCTAAAAATACAAACGTACATATAGACGTGGATAAGAAGTCAACTGAGGCAGGCAGACAGACAGAAAGAGAACGAGCCGACAAAAGGATCAAAAATGTCGGCTCACATTATTTGATGCTTAGTGTGTTACAATAACGCAGCGTCCGAGCCTTGACTTCCTATACAAGCAGCGGATCAAAGGTAGAGAGTGGAGAGCGACAACGGCAGAACAGCTGGGTTTTTTTTTTTTAATCTGTGAAAGTCCACAAAGTGTGTGTGAAACTGGCAACAGAGACACAGAAACACACACTCACACAAACCAAAGTTAACAGGCCAACTTGAGGTCACACGAGGGAGAGAGAGGCTTGCTTTCTTTTGCTCTCTCGCTCTCTTTTTGTCTCACACTTTATCTAACACACACTGACAACAGGCTCAAATATAGAACATGCCCATAAAAAGTCAGAGAGCACAACAGCGCTGTGCTGCAGAGAAAGGCCAGAAGTTTGTAAGCTGTATGTGTGTGTGTGTGTGTGTGTGTGTGGAGCACTGGTCAGAGTCACACACACTTTTCTTCCTCTGCCTGATCTGTATTGAGGACTGCAGATAGACATGAATGAGTCAGGTCGACAGTGTGAGTGTGTGTGCATTGAAGGGTTTATGGGTCATGTTGACTGTGTATAGAGAACCGATGTCCCAACCTTCTTAAGCTACAGCAGACTGAGTGGACAATGGATTTTCTCAGTTATAGAGAGGCTAAGTCAGAAAAGACATGCCAACCAATGTCTTGTCATTAAATATTAAACCCATATTTAAAGGATATAGTGCTATGTTGTCAATGCACAAAGTTTTTAACCCACACATGACCATCTTGAGTTGTCAAATCTCCATCTCTACCTTCAATCCTATAAGACTTATGGATATGTAACTCTGAATGCTATCAAATAAATAGCTACTTTAACATTTTACCATGCAGTACAGTTGTATCGTCAGATTCCAGAGTTGGTTTTTAGTGTATTTGTTATAAGTTTTCAGCTAGAATTGCTGAAAAGCCTGAATGTTGACGATTAAAATCACATCTAAACTAGTGTGTTTTTTTTTTTTACAGCAACAACCAAATCCTTTAAATGCATAGGCCTGATAAATAAAAGGCCCATCTGGCACTGTGTTAATCTTTTTTTTATCGTTTTCTCTTTTTAAGTATCAATTCGAGTTTTTAGGGAGTCTTCATTTCAGTCTAGAGTGTGTTTGTTCAAAAGGAGATGAAAGAAGTTCTCTAATAATTACATACTTGGAAAGGGGACAGGATTTATGGGAGTTCATGAGGTTCTTTTTCGTCCCCTTTTCCAGTGTTTATTTTTGGATTTACCCATTTGGCTGAATTTCATCTCCTCTTCCCTCATATCTCACCCCACCCCTCTCTTGGGGTCTGTCCCTCTCTCTCTGTAAAACCCTCACTCTTTCCTTGTTTGCATTTCAACAATCACTGATTGCGCTTTTCACCGCCTCTCAACCAATGACCTGACAGATAGGGAGTAATCACTTCCTGGTGGGCTCTGCGGACGCTGTAACACACACACAGACACACACACACACACACTCACACACAACACAAACAGAAGGCCGATGGGATGATATCATATCAGCTCTCTCACACACACACATTACACAGACAGCTTTTCTCTCCCACCCCACCCTTGTCTCGTATAACGGTGAACATGTTGGGAATGTGTTGTATTAGCGTTTTCTTATTCAAAGAGCAGCGTAATCCCTCTGTGAACAGCCCGGCCTGCTGGGGAACACAGGAGGGGAGGACACACAGGACTGAGATACAGTTCATTCCTGTGTCCGGCTGCTGTTAAATGATCTGATCTGATGCAATTTGTAACTGAATGTACTTGTACCGTGCATCACCTGCCCTGCAGTCAACTGTAAGGTTTTTGTGTGCAGTTTCACTGTGGAGACAATTATAGACGGTATCAAGTCACGTGATTTCCATCTCCAATAATAGCACTGGATACGTGATGTTATCTTAAATCTTAATGACTTAATGTTGGCACACATGATTTACGCTACTTATAATAAACTTTTACTTTTACAATCCTTGTAGTAAAAGTTGTTTTGATTCAGTTAACAGTAAAGTTGCGTATACAGCATGCAACTAGCAACCAAGTTGGTATACACTATAGTTTTTAGGGGGCATTTATGGACCTTTATTGATTAGCCAACAGGAAATAAGGAGGGAGATGCAACAAGTCCTTGTGGTTTATGATCAGCATCTTAACCCCTAAAGGCCACCACGGTACCTCAAATCTTATAGTTTCATAGCAAAGGCCTCAAGAGTTAAGGGGAAAGTGTGGCACTTGCATATTTTATAGCTCTCAATCTTTAAGGCTCAAAGCTTACAAGGAAGGGTACTTGGGTCCCATTATGTCAAAAACATTTAAATGAATTATGTGAAATATGTTTTTATTTATTAGTATTGAGACTGGTCTTTATGACATGTTCTGTTGAGTTGAAACCATGCTTCACTGTTCTGCCCTTCGGCATTTGGCATTCATGGACAGCTCATGATGGACAAGAAAGAGGATGAGAGAGAGGGGATGACACTCATTAAAGATGTCAGACTCAAACACAGCAAGGACTTGGCACCAGGTGAGCTACCGGGGTGCCCCGAGTTGCACTTG